AAGTTTGAGTATCAACGACTGCATGAAAAATTGAACGTTCATTGTCAAATAATTTAGAGTACTTAGAATATATATTATTTTATAATCATCTTAGCTTAATAATAAAATAGCTCGAGATGTTTAGTGCTGAAAATCGAAATAGTTTGCAAGGATATGTGTCATGTTTAATTTTTTCTTAGGATATATATAAAAGAAATATTATCAAATAGTCTTAAAATAATAATATTTCTTGAAATAATAATATTTAGTTGAAATATTCACAATGCATTAAAGAATTTGACTTCCATTATAGCCAAATTCGCTTAGTGAAAACAAAATCAAGGCTATATATAATAAGTTTAATGGTATAGATATTCAGTTTAATATATTAATTAAAAATATAATAAGTAATAATAATAATAAATATATATATAAATTGAATTCTCCTATGATGATAGAGATTGGTAGACTATATTCTACCAAGGGTATTCGTTAATCCAAGTGGTATTATCATTGCTTAAATAAATCCCATTATGATTCTTTTTGCACCAAGAGTCATCTCTTTTGACCTTGAAAGCATAGAAGGTTATCCTCCTGTGATCCATCCACCGCACATTGCAGTAGAAAAGGATGGAGCGAATAAAGTTTATCTTGGTGTCCAATGTCCTTTTATCATTGGTCTATCACCCATGTTCTTGAATATGATAATTTATGAATCAACCATTCACTAATGGAAAATCTTGATTTTTATATGTTGTTTCTTAATGCTTTTAGATTAAAAAAACAATATCTAATAAATCTTGATTTTGAATTGGTCAACAACGAAATTAAAGATTGAGAGCCTTTCTTGATTCTTAAGGACAGAAATTAACCAATAATAGTAATAGAAAAACAATTATCGCTTTTCCCTTTAACAATACCAAGAAGGATTGAGATTAAGATTGTTTAAACAATTTTGAATCGATAAGTTATTTTGTAACTCTTGCATTTAAAAAATAGTTAATTTTATTAAGAAAAATATTTAAAATTACAATGAGAGCTTATAATTAGAATCGTAAACTAAACTCATAATTAAGATATTCTTCTTTAACTATCAAGATAAAAAAAACCTAGCCACTTAAGATCATATATGAACAATACAATGAAAAGGTGAAAAGTCCATTCAAAAAAACATCGAACAACACATAGATACAAATAGATCTGATTATTACAACAAACGAACCACAATATGAGATTAAACATTGAAAGACCATCGACAAAAGCAAATCAGAGCCAAATATCATGAAAAAAACCGTCTAAAATGCAGGCTACGTATCTAAATCTAATTTGAGGGTCCAAAATAAAAAGATCAACGAGATAACAAATGAGCATCATCTTGATTAGTCACGGCAACATCAAATCCAACCCTGAAAAAAATGAAAAAATGGATCAAACGACTAAAAAATATAACTCTTGCTATGCAAGCGATCCAATTGTGTTATGTATGAATGAAAATGGGATCAAATTATGGGTGTTCAAAAAAACTTGTAACCGTTAATTGGTATAATCGTTATATTTAGCAAGTTAATTAATCAAATTGTTAATGTTAAACGGTTTCGATTAACTGTACCGTTAAAAATGATGGTTAAGGGTACATTTACGAATTTTGATAAATGGTTAACCAACGGTTAATCGTTAATAAATTAAATTTATAATTATATTGGGAGATGTACATAATTACACCGGTGTAAGTATGTGTTAAGTGCTACATTTTTTGTGAGATGTACATATTTACCCGTTAATAAATCAAAGCATTCATGTTGTGTTATTTTTGAAAAATAATTGTAATAGGTTAAACGTAGGTTAACTGGTAACCGAATTGTTAATAACAGTTAACCACTTAATGGTTATATTACTATTAGAAAAATCTCGTAACCGTCCATGAACAACCCTAGATCAAATAACCAACACTCAAAATAAATTTAAATATAATCGAAGAAAATAATATATTCTATTAAAAATTACAAATATTATCATCTAATTTTCTAATAATAGGTTTAAAATTTTAAAATAAAAAAATACAGATGTAAAATCTTAAAAAGAAAGAAAATGCACTCTTCACTAGGTATCCACCTTGGATATTAGCATTGTTATTGCAGAAACAAAACCCATCCAGCTTCACGGATCAAAAGCAAGTATCTTTGGGACAGATATCTGGGTTTCCCAATTTGTAATACAGCTAAAGATGCTACACATCCATTCAAGAGATCATCACACAATTCGTTGATATGATAGCCCTTTGAATAATATACCTCTACTTGTAACTTGCTGCAACGGCAAAGGACAGCAGCATTGGGAAGACAATAGTTTTGAGGTCAGTTATGGTGTGTGATTTATTTCTATGTTTTTTTAGCACGGGAAGTAATTTTATTAAAGAAAGTAATATTGGTGGAAGATTAAAAATATGTGGATTGCCGCTTTAAAGCACTACAACAAATGTGTTATGTAGCGGCGTTTTTTGCGGCGTTTTCAGGGTAAACGCCACAAAATTTAAGTATTTAGCGGCATTTACAATCCAAACGCCACAAAATGATACTTTAGCGGCGTTTTTTCAAGAAACGCCGCAATAGAGTGGAAATATAGCGACGTTTGTAGATCAAACGCCGGGACAGGGTCGTTTATAATGTCGTTTTTCCAACAAACGCCGCAATAGAGATGTAATTTAGCGGCGTTTATCAAACAAACGTCGCTGTAGAGTAATAATTTAGTGGCGTTTGTGTAAAAACGCCGCAATATAGTAATAATTTAGCGGCGTTTATAGTACAAAACGCCGCAATATGTTTGTTTATAGTGGCGTTTTTATAAAAACGCCGCAAAAACATGTACTATGGTTGCGTTTTTTTAAAAACGCCGCAAAATGGTCAATATATGCTCGACTCTTTTCTTCTGCCCAATCCCTAAAATAATTTCAACGCTCCTTCCCTAAAAGGGATTTCTCTGGTACAACAACGACCCTCAGACGATTCCAGGCGACGTCATCTTCTGTCTGTCCCGGCAACCAAATCGGCCCTCTCACCGGCAAATAATTATCTCACGATTACACGGTTTGATCCCTTCTCTCACTACTGAACTTTTTCATTTAATTTTTGTTGGTATTCTGAAAATGGGGAAAACCCAGAAAGCTAACGTAATGGAGAAAAATAAAAGCTTTTGAATAGGAAAGAATATATATACATATTTTTTATTGGTTTACTGCTAATTGGGAGCATTGTTTTTCTGCTTTCGAATAGAAGAATAATAGCTTCCGAATAGGAAAATAATAGCTTTTGAAACATGAACAAATGGTTGTGGTACAAAGAGCAGGTGTTGCATTCAGTAAGAAAAATTATCGTCGGAATGTCCACGTGGCGTCTTTGCTCTGACGATGGATCAAATTATCGTTGGGAGGCTATCAGTCCGAACTTTCTGTTGAAACCGAAATGCCCTCCTATTGTAAAACACCCTTCCATGGTCGATCTCCTAAATGAAGGTAATAATTAATCGCTGAAAGTTTCTGGCGCTATATTTTTTTACTGTAAAATTAATAGATCGCACGCATGTAGAATGTTCAAAGCTTATTGAGAACGATGATAGAGCCAATTTTGGTAACTCTGTGGCGTTGAAAGAATCTTCAATTGCAAAAGCAATATCTATCCTCAATGAAGACGATGTTGCCTTTACTGTTAGTCCAAGTAAACGTTTCTATCATCTATTTAATTTTTTTATGTTTGATTTTGTTCCCAAGCCAACTCAAATCAAGTTTCATATTGTAGGTGGAAGGTCGTTATCTGTTTCAAGTGAAGCACTGAAGAGCGCAAGGAGTCTTCTTGGTGAACCGAAGGTAGGAGATTTATTTGGTGAAATGGATGAAGAGTTTCTCCATATAGAGTTTTCACAGAGGAAAAACTTAACGATGCGTCGTCAAACAAGGAAAACAGCTTTCTTACGTCCTTTCCCCACGAAGGAGCAATGAAGACTAAATTCTAGTTAACAATATGGTTAAGACTGTTAATGCATACTTTAATGTTTCTAAATTTAAATGTATTTTGTTGTTAAGTATTTGTATGCATAACGCGTGTCTTAATTAAAATCTATGGTTGTTTTTAATTAAATAAAGCTATATGATAGTAAATTAAGTTTATGTAGAGAAAAAATAAAATATGCAAAATCAATTAATCTTATACAGTTTAATGAAATTAGCGACGTTTGTATCCAAAAACGCGCCATATACCTGACTTGTTGCGACGTTTGTATCAAAAACCGCCGCAATAAGTTCATCCATAGTGGCGTTTTTTGAGAAAAAACGTTGTTACATAGTTGGTACGTTGGCGGTGTTTTTATACAAACACCCCACTAGATTATATCTATTGCAGCATTTTTATACAAACGCCGCAATATAATAGAACTTTAGCGGCATTTTTGTACAAACGCCACAGTAGATATAATCTATAGAGGCGTTTTTATACAAATGTCGCAATATAATATAACTTTAGCGGCGATTTTATGAAAACGCCGATAAATAGGCATACGTTAGTGGTGTTTTTTGAACACAAACGCCGCAAATGATTTCGACATTAGTGGAGTTTATTACAAAACGCCGCTATAGAGTATAATTATACAGTTTAAAATCCCTAAATTCCCGGATAAAACCCGAGCCTTATTCTCTATAGAAATTCTCCATCAGTTCATCCGCTCTCCCTCACGCAAATCGGTCCCAACGTCCAGCATTCACGCCGTCGGTCCCATCGTCGCACCATCACCGGCGAGTCCTATTAGAGGTATGTGTCGATTGTATGGATGGAACTTCCCACAATTTCTTTAACAGTAATACCCCCTCCCCGGTTGTTTTGGGTTTTCTGCATTATAAATAATTTAGAGATTACATTTGAAGTTTAAAATTCGAAGCAGTTTTGTGGGTCTTATGGATGTGGATTACTTTTAATTGATTGATCTCATTGTTGGTTTTCCTCTCAGTTCCTATAAAGCAAAATGTTCGTGCCTCTCTACAATGAATGTATTTGCTTATTAGGAGCTACAAATGGCTTCCCTCTTGAACTTTGCGTGTTATGATCATACATCACCACAACATCAGTAATTGTACCAAAATGATCAAAATAGTTCTTAAAGTCACTCTCGGTGACCGATGAGGCTAAACCTCCGACAAAAATCTTTTTCATGCTTCCAGGAACAGGAGAACCACTGATGCCTCTCATTTTCCTGTTTATAATGTTCTGATCATCCCTAGGAACAGCCTTTTTTGCTTCAACCTGAAAATTGATCAAACAATTACACCACATTTTCTATCCCAACCCAACCATTGAATACAGATTCATTTGAACAAAATTATATTCTGTCTGGATTTTCTGTCTACATCGCATTTGGCCGACTTTAACTAGTAGTATTTGGCCGAATTTTAAACTGGTTTGTTTTAAACGGTGGCATAGGAGCGGTAGAACAGCCAGATGTTCATTCATTTGCTTCCTCCTGTTTCTCTCAACTGCAATGTGAGTCATTCTTTGAGTCTCGACCTCTTCTTTGTTCTTGCAAACCCTCGGCTTTCTCCTCCTATTTTTCCTCCCTTGAACCACTAAGTTCGTCGTCAGGTCGACGTTTTCCGCTGCTGTCGAGGGGATGCATTGTGGGGGAGGAGTATTCACCACCATAGGAAAGCAATTCAGAACCGTACTGCTAGGAAACCGTGGGGTACCCAAATTTATATAGAAATAAGAATACCAACAAATAATGGATTACTCAACTGAATTAGATTTAATGATCATTTTACCTTCCAAATAAAGCATTACTCAACTGAATTAGATTTAATGATCATTTTACCTTCCAAATAAAGCATTCCATTTCATTGATGGCCTGTGATAAGAATACCAACAAATAATTTAAAGGTTATGTACTTTTTTTATTCTTCATGCCTCTTTTGATTTCATGATTCCCTATTCCTTTCCCAAGATTTTAACCCAAAGCCTTCGTGTTTAACATGTCAAGTTTTAACTATTACGATCCCATTGTTTAATAAATATTATTTTTGTAATATTTTTTTGACTATGTATTGGTCTTTGGCTATGGTTTATGCATCGCATTATTTTGGTGCTAATAAGCTAATGTTTCATGGAAAACTGGAAAGTCTAAATATTTTATTGCTGCATTGTTGTTAACAAATATTTTTTGGTTGCTGTATTTATATTTTCAATTTATAGTTAATAAACTATGGAAATCTGGTTCAGTAACTGTTTCTTGCATGATCAGCTTTGTTTGCTCAAAATGTAAGTAAAAAGTTTTATAGATCTTAACAATGTTGTGGGAAGGGGTATATTTGGAGTTACTAAATGTATTATTACTTGAACTTAGAACAGTTTATTTGGAGTTGCAATCTTTTTAAAGCATCAATCTTGTTTACGTACTTCCCTTTTGTACTTTGTCTAAATGAAATATGTATCTTTTGTAGGTCCCTTTAGTTTGTCTGTTTATTTTCTGGTCTAAGAATTGAAGCAAATATTGTTCCTGAAAGTTCCTGAACCTCGGAAATCATTGGTGATGTTGGAGTTTGATCGAGTTGCACAGGTATAAGTGGTATTAGCACCACATACTTACGGAACACATTATAAGTTGCTATTTTAGTTTATTTAATTGGCATGCATATATTAAGTTTACTTTATCTTAGTTGTGGAAACAAATAATATTTAATTGCCATGCATATATTAGTTGATTACAGAGGTTCATAATTAATACGAAGTGGCATGCAATGTTTAATTCTGGCCTTTACTTTAGAATTAAGCTTAAATGTAACTATAAATTGATCTCTCAGTAAAGCCTTGCTAAGGTTAGCTGTGGATCACCAAACATTTCTTGTTCTGGTTCATCGAAAGAGCATCATATTCAACATTTTCCAGGTTTGTCCATGACACTCATTAAGAAAAGTATTTTTATGTTGCTTTAAGATTGTCAAGTCAAGTGTACTAAATTATTCTTGGTGTCGCATAGTTGACTAAGACTTAAGTGGGTTGTCATTGGAATTCTAACTTCCTACAATGATGCATTTCACTGAGAAAATGTTGAGTAGGCCTTAAGTCGGTTGTCCTTTTGGGTTATTCTTTTTCTTTATTTCTTGAACCTTTCTCACTAAATATGATAGTTTAATGCTTCTGTTTAGGTTCTAAATTTATCTATAATATTAGCAATTAACATTTGAATTTGAAACTCCGGAAATACAAAATGGATAAGAGTTGGATGGATTTCTCAAGGGTTAGCGACGAATATCGAAATGGAGTCGAAAACTTTCTAAATTTAGCTTTTCTGAATGCAAGCCAAGAGAATATGATTCTTTGCCATTGTAAGAAATGTGTCAACATTAACTGGCACATTCATGAAGTTGTGTACGAGCATCTAGTTGTTTTTGGATTTGTTCGGGGGTATAGAAAATGGATCTTTCATGGAGAGTTTGTATCAGATAGATCTGCTTCCACGAGTTATTCGACTTATTATGCTCCTTCTCACCATCCAACTTTCAAAGAAGATGAGATGGAAGGATGTTACGAGATGCATTTAATATGCACAATCATCAGCCGTATGTTATAGAAAATTATTGTGACAATGATGTTGATGATTTCATTGAGACGGGAAGAATTGGATGTGATGAAGAGCCAAATGTTGAAGCGGCAAAGTTTTACAAGTTGCTGAATGAAATGAATGAACAACTTTATGAGGGATCAAATTTTTCAAAGCTTTCTTTCTGCATTCGTCTTTTCCACTTAAAATGCCTGGGAGGGTGGACTGGTAACTCCTTTACGCAATTATTGGAGTTACTATGAGATGTGTTTCCTTTTGCAAAAATCCCTCAATCATGCAAAGATATGAAGAAAATGATAAAAAATTTGTGTCTTGGATATGACAAAATTCATAGTTGTCCGAATGATTGCATGTTGTATTGGGGTGATCGAAAAAATCAGGAGTCTTGTCATGTATGCGGAAAATCTCGATGGATGACTACGGAGGTAGAAAATGTTACTCAGGATGATGCTCAAGCACGATCAAGAATGAAACCGGTCAAGATTCTGCGATATTTTCCTCTCATACCTAGGCTACAAAGATTGTTTATGTCCTCAAAGACTGCTGAGTCTATGAGGTGGCATCATGATGGCAGAACCGATGATGGATTATTACGGCATCCTGCGGATTCTTTAGCTTGGAAGTCATTTGACAACAAGTATCCAAGTTTTGCGAGAGATCCTCGAAATGTCAGGCTCGGTCTTGCAACTGATGGGTTTAATCCATTCAAAATCATGAGTACTTCGTATAGTACTTGGCATATTGTACTTGTTCCATACAATTTGCCTCCTTGGATTTGCATGAAACAATAATCTTTCATCTTATCCATGATAATCTCCGATGAGAAAGGCCCCGGAAATGATATTGATATTTACATGCAGCCGCTAATTGCAGAGTTGAAACAGTTATGGGAAGGGGTCGAAACGTACGATGTGTTGACGAAGGAAAACTTTAATTTACGCGCGACTTTATTATGGACAATTAATGATTTTCTTGCATATGCAAATTTATCTAGTTGGAGTACCAAAGGTCGTTACGCTTGTCCTTGTTGTGCTCTACAAACATGTTCGAAGTGGTTGGTTAATGGAAAGAAGTTCTCTTATATGGGACATTGTCGGTGGTTACCTGATAATCATAGATTTAGAAGTCAAAAGAATATGTTTGATGGGGATGAAGAGTTTCGAAATGCTCCTGACCAAACAACCGGTTCTCAAATATTCAGAATGTTGAAAAATATCAATTTTACTTATGGAAAGATTAATCAACCAAGTAGTACACGATCAATGAAAAAGGCAAAGCATGTCAATGAAGAGGTTGAAGTTGACGAACAAATTGATGATGAGTCTGATGAAGAGGATGAACCAAATGAGGTAGACTTGTGGAAAAAGATGAGTATATTCTTCGAGTTGCCTTATTGGAAAAACAGATTTTGAGACATAATCTTGATGTAATGCATATTGAGAAGAATGTTTGTGAGAATATTATCGGGACCATTCTAAAAAATGGTAGAAAATCTAAAGATAATCTTAAGAGTCAACTTGACTTAGTGGACATGGGAATTCGGCATGATCTTCATCCGCAATTACGTCCTAATGGAAGAAATTTCTTGCCGCCTTCTATTTTTTCTCTTTCAAAGAAAGAAAAAAAGTGTTGTGCACGGTGTTGAATGATATAAAGGTCCCAGATGGGTATGCATCAAACATTTCTCGATGTGTCAGTATTAAAGATCGAAGACTTTATGGTTTAAAGTCACATGATTATCACATATTAATGCAAGATTTACTGCCAGTAGTTGTTCGCGGTTGCATGTCGAGTAAGGTGACGTCTTGTATCATTGAACTTTCTAATATAATGAAAGTCATACGTGGGAAAGTTCTAATGGTTGAAGAACTTGATAAACTACAAGATCGAGTCGCCTTGACTTTATGCAATTTGGAGAAGATATTTTCGCCTTCATTATTCACAATTATGGTGCATCTGCTAATTCATCTTCCTCACGAAGCAAGAGTTGGTGGTCCAGTTTTCTATCGATGGATGTACCCTATAGAGAGGTGTTAATTGAATTACACGTTTCAAATTACTACTGATTATACATTTTAATAAAATGTATTTACGTAGTATGTTGTTTTGTGTATAGGTTCTTGGGCAAGTTGAAGTCTTATTGTCGTAATAAGCGTTATCCGGAAGGATCAATTGCTGAAGGGTATTTGGTAGCGGAATGCATGAAATTTTGCTCTAGATATTTGGAAGATGTTGAAACAAGATGGAATAGACCAAATCGAAATGATGTGTTAAGTACTGATGACTTACCTCAACATTATTTGTTTGGAAGTTATGGTCAACCATTAGGGAAAGTTGAAATTACACACTTAGATGACAAGTCTTGGGTACAAGCACACCTATGTGTTCTTTTCCATCACGGTTCAATAGATCCATTTCACACGTAAGTCTTTCGAACTCAATCCTAATGAAATCTCTTTATCTTTTATATTTATCAATTTTTAACGACATAATATTCTTTATAGTGAGTTTAAAGAAGTATTGAGATATCGAGCACGCTCCCGAAGATTAAATCAGCGAGAGCTACAGAAGTTATTCACAGAAACTTTTCATTAATGGTTAGGCCAGACGGTAAGCAACTAAATCTTACGGAACACTTATAAATTATATGTCTTGCTTTTTATATCAACATCAATGCAAATTAATTCACCATTCATGTGTAATAGGTTTGGAGTAGGAGAGAAGTTAGTGATGAAGTTAAATGGCTTTCTCAAGGTCCGAATAGAATAGTTAAAAGATATAATGCCTTCCTCATTAATGGGTTCATGTTCCATACGAAATCTCGTGAAAGATTGAGGACACAAAATTGTGGAGCCGTAGTTACTTCGTCAACTACAAGTTATGCTACTGTAAGGGACAATAATCCACATAAGGGAGAGGTCGATTATTATGGAAATCTTACGGACATTATTGAGTTAGATTATTATGAAAAATGAAAGGTTGTGTTGTTTCGGTATGACTGGGTTGATGTAAACAGATGTATAAAAAGAGATAAATTCGGGTTTAAAATGGTAAATTTCTCTCGATTAATTCACACGGGTTAACGTTTAATGGATTAACCATATGTATTTTCTTCTCAAGTGAAACAATTTTTTATTGTCACGATCCAATGGATGACGGTTGGTATGTTGTGTTTCGACATACTCCCAGAGACTTGATAGACATTGGGGATGGAAGTAGAGATGACATTGAAACAAGATCAGAATGTTTACCTCTACTACCGCAAAACTTAGATGAAACTATCACTAATACAACACAATTTCAATGGGTTCGGGAGGACGTTGATGAAGATATTTATGACAACTGACATTATATAAAACTTTTGTACGATTTTATATCTTTATTTATTTATAATGTTATAACCTTTAACATGTTGTCTTTCAATATATTCATTACTTAATTCGTTTTTTTATTACTCATGTTTGTTTATTATAGATAATATACCGAGGAGAAAAATAAATGAGGAATCGAATGCACCTGACTCTTCCGAAGTTCCTGAAACTGTTGAAGAAGAAGTAGAAATTCAAAGTAATCTTCGAAACATTATTTACTACTTTGTTCATTTTCAAAACTGGCCTTTAATAATTTATTATATAGTTGAAAATGCAGGAACGCGCAAGACTCGAGGACGTACAACTTTGAAGGAATTATACCAACTTCCTCCTGGGCATCGTGTCCAAGTTTCAAGAAATTATGCCGGTCAGCCTATTGGCCCAGAATCAAGTCTTCTAGCAGGTTACTTAGGCATAGTTGGACGTAATGCGAATCTGTTACCCATCAATTACGAGTCATGGCGCGAAATGCCTAATAGTAACAAAAATCAAGCGGTGGATTTTGTTAAGGTAATAATGTCATTATAATAGATACTCTATAGAAATTCAATACTAATTTATACTTACGGTGCACACTTATTTGCTGTATAGGAGAAATTTTCTTTAGAGGTCTCTGACGATTATGTGAAGCAAGCGTTAGGGAAGAGATAGAGGGACCATAAGAGCTCCTTAAAGAAGAAATACTTCAAGAATGATCTCAGCCTTGAAGAGAAGTTGCAAACAGTCCCACCATGAATGTTCAGGTACCAATGGGAAGATGCAGTCAGATTTTGGAGTTCAAAAAAGGACATATATGATGATTTTTCAGAAATAATTGTAACGAATTTTAAATCATCATTAAAAATGATTGTTTGACATTGTAGGACCGAGAGCATGTTGGTGTTGTTAGCACGCAACAACAAAAGTTTACGCACACGGCTGGATCAAAGAGCTTTGCTTGTATAGCTCATGAGGAGGTATTATAGATTATTGAAATAGTTTTTTGAATTCCATGTACATACTAACTCATAGTTATTATATTATGGTACATTGTAGGAAAATACATCCGGTTCTAAAGTTGGTCGAATCCAACTCTTCGACATGACACATACGAAGAAGGATGTCACTCCTATGACTGTTGACGCTGCAGAAATTATGGTACGTTTATTGGGTAGATGTTTTAAATTTACTGACTTTATTTATATTTGTATCATGACATTTTTTATTTTAATTAATTATTCACTTTATTATTAGGAAAAATTGAGGGAAAAAAGGCGGAGCATCATGCTACTGCTTCGAGTCAAGGTATTGTTAATGATGATGACATTGAAAACCAAACTATTAATAACGTTTTGGGTCCTGAAAGATATGGTCAGGTGCGTTGTCAAGGATCATTCATTACTCCCACCAAATATTTTGGATCCAGCTCATCACAGTACATGTCATCACAGTCTCGATCTTCCCACCACGAAGTTAGTCGTTTAAAAGAAAAGTTGGCTGAGATGGATCAACAAATGGCTAACTTGAAAGCGAAAAATGAAGCAAGGGAAGCAGAGAGAGCATCAAGGGAAGCAGAGAGAGCAGCAGCAGAAGCAGCCAGAGCAGCAGCAACAGCAGAGAAAGAAGCAGCCAGAGCAGCAGCGAAAGCAGAGAAAGAAGCAGCGGTAACACAGAGAGAAGCAGCGGCAGTACAAAGAGAAGCAACATATCAACAGAGATGTGAAGAATTTGAAAAACGACTCAATGATATGATGCTAATGATACAGAAAACGCAACCTCAGAGTCCACCATCGTAGTCTCATTTATGTTATGAGCATTCTGTTAATGTTACTGAACCTTGTTTAACTGAACTTATATTACGTTAATGAAAACTTTTATTTATTATATTGAATTTGATGATGTTTGTTATGGATATAGAGTTTGATCTTATTGTTGTTTTGTTTGTTGGATAATGAAACAGGTTGAAAAAACAGATTTGGGGTAATCAAGCATTATTTTTAGAACTGTTAAATTATGTGTTATTTAGCGGCGTTTGTAAAAAAATGCCGCAATATACCATACATTTAGCGGCGTTTGTATACTAGAAACGTCGCGATATACCCAACTTTTACGACGTTTGTGGAAAAAAGACGTAAAATATCAACACCTACTGCGGCGTTTGTAAGTAAAACCGCTAAATCTCAAAACCTACTGCCACGTTTGTAGGGAAAACGTCGCTAAACACCAACACCTATTGCGGCGTTTTTGTGACAAACACCGCTAACTTTAGCGATGCTATTTTCAGCAGCACTTTTAGCGGCGTTTGTCAAAACGCCGCATGTGTTTTTAGCGGTGTTTAAAAACGCCGCTATATGTAAAAAAAACGCCGCAAAAAACCTGTTTTGCTGTAGTGAAGAAGTAAAAAGATAATAACAAACATCAGATTACATCCTAAGAGAAATATAATAAAACTATCTGAAATACCATGAACACACGACATAATCACACTAAAAATAATACAACAAACTCAAAATCCTAAAAAAACAGCTAATGCCAATCACAAGCCATATCAGCAACAACCATTTCGATCATATCACCAAACCATAGAAGAATTCATAGCTCTTGCAAATACTAATGGAAATGAAATCAAACTTTACTACAAGTTTTGAACCATAATCTTCATATATGGAGGGTGTTAGATGACTTGATCTTAAATAGTCGAGTAGTATATGTTTTTATTTCTTTTTTTTTTGAAAGAGGGTACTTTGTATTATAATCAAATTCAAAGTACACCACCTCAAGGACCTCATTAAAAAACCTCCCTAATCCTAAATGGAGGAAAAAGAGTGAACCAAGAGGTGGGATAGAACAATACAAGGATGCCACATAGCAACAAACATTACAAACCCCAAACCACAACCAAACACACACGAACACCCATACAAAACAACCATCATAATGGAATAGGACTAGAAAGGATTGGACCACAAAAACAAAATTCAGTCAAACAAAGCAACTAAGTGAGCAATCCGAAGACAGTAACAAGAACCATGATCACCAAATCAGCTGAAACTGTAAAATATCATGACTTCATCGGTCTACAACCCCTTTGACTTCGCTCACTCCCCGACAATCACGCGCAATTCTTGTGGCTAGAGAACATCAACTATCTCACTACCAAAACTCCTACTTAATGATAATGATATTCCTTTACAACATAAGCAGCCCACCTTTTCTTTAAATCCAAATCTGATAGGGATGTACCAGATAGTTCAGTTGAATTTAGATCGGATTTTAACACATTGAATCTCTTCAACGCTCGATCTCTTTTTTTTCTAGCTTTCGAAAGTACTTTGTCCTGAATATCCAAAAGCGATCCAAATTTCTTCTGCCAGCCCTTTTAGTCTAGCAAGTTCAAGCACCGTTTCTAGTTCATCTCCGTCAATACTAACACCAAGCCTCGAATATTTGTATGTTTAAACTTGGTTTAATTAATAATTTCAATCATTCAATTTTTTAAATTATTAGATTAAATTAAATTAAATTGGAATAGCTTCCAAGTATATATGTCATGGGGTGAATAGTTCATAATGACCGCCAATGCCATAAGAAAAACAAGGGAGTTCGTTGGAGACAAGTATAGGAATTGCACCACTCTTTTTATATCTAAGCTATCTGAGAAGATGCATTGCAAGATAATCACCAGTGCCATGGAGAAAATCGACGATAATTTTATTCTTAAAATCAGCGATTATTCGTACAAAATCAATAAATAGTAATACAATAAATTAAAAAAGTAAACAAATAAATTTGATTCTCCAATGAGAATACAAATTTGTAGATTATATTCTACCAAGGGTATTCGTTATGCCAAGTGATATTATCATTACTGAAATAAATCCCATCGTTCCTCACGGACCACATGCAAGAAGTATGGTACTTCTTACACCGGGAATCGTCTCTACTAGCCACGAAAGCGTCGAAGGTTATTCTCTTGTGATCCACCCATCGAGCTTGGCAAAAGAAAAGGGTCGATCGAATAAAGTTTATCTTTGTGTCCCACATGTAAACTTGTCCCTTCACCATCGGTCTATCACCAATGTCCTTGTCCTTGGACATACAGTGCAGAAATAGATTCGGCCTAAAGGGTGGCGAATTAAATAAAGGTAAATCGTTTGTGACAATGATATGATAGTCTAGGAACCAACCACTATCAACAAATGAAAAATGCATAAAGGAAAATGCTAGCATCAATGGGAGGGCAATGCCTTTGAAGTTATTCATGGTGTGTGTGATCATCATACAAGGTTCTTGGTATTTATATTTTGATTTTGAATCCTATTTTTAAATTAAAAATGGTATCTAATAAATTTTGAATTTAAATTGGTCAACGGAACTAAAAATTGACAGTTTTTCTTGATTATTACGGATCAAAATTAACCAATAATATTAATAGATAAAACAATCACATAAACAACGGTAAGAAGGATTGGTTCCGAGAAGAAATTGCGTTGAAATTGCTTAAAAAACATTTGAATCTTACCTTATATATGACATCAATGTTATTACAAATAAAGTAGTAAGCCTATTTATTTATTTATTTATACCTTTTTTATTCTTACATGCACAAAACATGCACAAAACCAGGGAAATACTATTACCTAGTTCTTGATTTTGATTTTTATATTATGATTTCACATAGTTATAGACATGAACAAATTCATAATTTTTATTACAAAATCGAATTTAAAAAATTATATTAGAAAGTTAGAGATATAAAATTAGATAAAAATAGAAGATATGAAAAACACCTAAACTATATGAAAAACTAAAATTTCTAAGGATACAGATCCATTTCTAACTAACTATCACATCTGATAGACTTTGAGCTTAAACTTATGTTCTAATATTTTTTTTAAATGAAATAGTATATAATCTGATTACTTTTTTATCAAATAATCCTATTCTTCTCCCACCTTAGTCTTGTGATCTTGGCATTTGAAGTAGCTTAGGCAAAACATACGTAGCACGGACGTATATTTCAACTATAAGACCATCCTGAAAAGGTTCACTTTTGAATGAAGTTTCTACAAAGGAAAGCAAAATGTGGGTAAACTACTTGTTTAGTCGCCTAACTTTCAAGGAGTTCCTATTCTGATCACCCTACTTTTCCAATTGGATCAATAAACTTTAAATTCTTTACGATTTTAAATCTATGCAAATAACACATGAAATTTTCCTTCTTCAAAATCTCAAACCCAGATTTTTTAATTCCTCTTGATTAACCCAGATTTTTTATTTTAATTAATATGTACATTTTAAGCATAATATAATTTTTTATATTAGTTAATCAAGAGGAATTCAAAAATCTGGGTTAATCAAAAGGAATTAAAAAATCTGGGTTTGAGATTTTGAAGAAGGAAAATTTCATGTGTTATTTACGAACCAATCACCTTTGACAAATGAAAAATGCAAGAGAAGAAATGCTACATGGAAAGGTAGACAATCACCATGTCCCTCTTGAACAAGTTAATTTGGTTCCCTCTCCATGTCCCTAAGTTTAACCTTATAACCTGGATGGCTTTGAGATTTTCCTTCTTCAAAATCTCAAACCCAGAATTTCCTTATAAGCTAGACAAAGGACAATGAAGAAATAAGTGATTCCTAGATTCCAAAGAGTCATTGCAAAGCACAAGTTAATTTGGTTCCCTCTCCATGTCCCTAAGTTTAGCCTTATAACCTGGATGGCTTTGCTAAATAGACTTCCAACTAAAGATAGATTGATTGGAATGGGAATTCAGATTGATAATCAATGTGTGCTTTGCAATGACTCTTTGGAATCTAGGAATCACTTATTTCTTCATTGTCCTTTGTCTAGCTCATTATGGGATGCGATTTTACATCTAAATGGCATTCGAAGAAGACCATGCTCTTGGGATGATCACATATCTTGGGCTTGTGCTACATGGAAAGGTAAATCCCTTCTCGTTACTATCATGAAGCTTGCTTGGACTTCTTTTACTTATACAATATGGGAAGAGAGGAACAAAAGGGTTTTTACAGGCTGCTCGAGATCTTTTGAAGCTTTGTTCCATGCCATTCAAGATACAGTGGCTATAAAATTACGGGGTAGAAGCATTAATAGGAAGGATAGTGTGAATATCTCACTTTGTAATCAATGGGGTATAGTTTATTGAAATTTTTTGTTGTAAACATTGATTGTAAGTTATTGTTACTGTTGTAAGAACTTGCTGTTTTTTGTAGCAGTTAACTGCTCTTTGGATAATAAAATTGATTTATCCAAAAAATAAAGAACTCGACTCTCATTGTAATCGACTTCATCTTATAAAAAAAGTATTGTAAAATTATTTCATTCACTTAAATTTCAGAAATGAAGTTATAATTTGTTTTATTAATCGATAAACAAATAAATAATAATAGAATAAAGAAAGAAAGAAAAATTAAACAAATGGATCCGGTTCTCGACGAGGATAGAAATTCATAGTTTAAATTCTACCAAGGGTATTCGTTAAACCAATTGATATTATCATTGCTGAAATATATTCCATCGGCCCTCACTGACCACAAGCAAGAATTGTGGTACTTCTTGCACCGGGAATCATCTCTTTTGGCTCTAAAAGCGTCGAAGGTTATTCTCTTGTGGTCCACCCATCGTGCGTTGCAGTAGAAAAGGGTCGACCGAACAAAGTTTATCTTCGTGTCCCACGTGTAATCTTGTCCCTTCATCATCGGTCTATCACCGATATCCTTATCATCAGACTTGCATTGCAAAAATAAATTCGGCTTATCAGGTGGCGAATGAAATAAAGGTAAATCATTTGTGACGTGGATGTGATAATTTATGAACCAATCACCTTTGACAAATGAAAAATGCAAGAGAAGAAATGCTAACAGGAAGGTAATGTCTTTGAGATTACCCATGGTGTGTGTTATATGTTTTGTACAAGGCTTCTTAATATTTATATTTTGATTTTCAATCTTATATGGCTATTTTTAAATTAAGAATTGACAGAGTCTTTCTTATAGTTTTACGGATCAAAATTAATCAATACTATTAATAGATAAAACAATTAGCTATCCAAACATACTTAAACACAATACTGAAAATCATAGGTTCCATTATTATAACTTATAAGAAAAGATTTATAAATAATAGCATAAGATAGTGTTATAAAATATAGATTGTTGATGGATAAAATATAAATTAATTTGTTCTCAATTATTCAAATAAGAAAATTCTTTTTCACTAGAAATTTACCATGGATATTCATTAGTCCAAGTGGCATTATCTTTGCTAAAATAAATCCCGTCACTCCTCACAGACCAAATGCAAGAATTATGATACTCTTCGCACCGGCCTTCGTCTCTTGAGGCCTTGAAAGCGTCAAAAGTTATTCTCTTATAATTCACCCATCGTGCGTTACAGAAGAAAAGGGTCGTCCGAAAAAGATTCACTTTCGTATCCCAAGTGTAGTCCTCGCCCTTTAACATGGCTTTATCACCGAGATCTCGGTCGCCAGACTTGCAGTGCAAATAAAATTGTGGCACATTGGGTGGTGAGTGGAACAAAGGCAGATCATTGACGACATGAATATGGTAGTTTTTGAATAGTGAGTCTTCACTCGCAGCGAGTGCCCATGGATACAGAAAGACAGATATCGTCATCAGCATTTGGAAGACATTGTGTTTGAGGTTAGCCATGTTGTGTAATGAGATATGATATGTTTGAGAGTACATTTGTTGGTTTTTTATTCTCTGATTCTCAATCTTACATTTATGATTCTGAATCTTACAATATCTACATATACGGAAGCAACATTATGACATTTTATATACAAAAATAATATCCTTATCTTTTTAGCCGAAACTAGGAAATAATATTACATGATTATTTTTAAAATTGTAATTGATATTTAATAGATTTTGAGTTCAAATTATAATTTAAGTTCATGTGTTTATCAATAACTTAATTAATTTTTTGATAAAATAAAGTAAAAGATTTTTCATATGATAAAGTAGAGGGATGAGATTTAGAATTAACGAAATCTATTGGATAATTATGTCGTGTGGTCATAGTTTGGTTTTGTAAACACGAAACGGAGGTTGAAGCAAAAGATAACAAAATCTTTGACTATTCAATTGGAAACTTCTTCACCGTTTCATTTGACTTGACTAAAATCTATTGGCCAGCCTCCACGTGTACTTACTGCCACTTTTATTTCTTTTTTAACCAAAGCCATCGATGTATTGCCAACCTTGTGAAATTAGTAGTCATATAATACACATAACGTATAATTAATATACGAGTGAATTAATGCTTGATTAACTCGTACCATTACTTGAATCAATTATTTATTAAAAAATTATATGAGAAATCGTAAAATGGATTTACACAAATCAAACTATATCATTTATTACACATGCAGTGTTTAAATTACAAGCAACAATATAACAAATAATAAATGGGAAGAAGTCGTGTCGTGGCAAGAGAAACGACATGATATTTGCTTCCAATCTTATTGATAGTTGAAGAAGACGATTGTTCAATGAGCTGGCGGCGTTGGCAATGGCGGTATGCTTTGCTCATTCTTGAAGAAATTATCGGGGTCAATCATGGCTTTTGCAGCCGTCAGCCTCATGAAATTGTTCCCGAAATACTTGGTCCCGTATTCCCTCGCGACCTCGAAATCCGTCTCCCCACTTTCATTGCTGCCGACGTCGAGATCCCGGTAGTTGACGAACGCTTCTCTCGGGTTGCTCGACGCGTACGGTGCCATTGCACTGTACAACCTCCTCGATAGTTCGACAAAACGTCCCGCGGCGTTGATGCCTCCGTCGGACTCGGACCATGTAATTGTGTATTGCACCTTGAATAGGTTCCCAGCGCGGTGTGCGAAGGCAGTTTCCGACCCTGAAATCTCTTCCATCCTCCCGCCGTAAGGGTTCAGTTGTACGAAGATGTTTTCAATGTCCATCAACACTTGCCATAATGTCTCCAAGCCTTGCCTAGGAATCACTGCTTTGTAGTAATCGGACTTGGTCTTGTAGAACACTCGGTCCACTTGCACTCTATTCAGCAACACATCGATGGAGGTTCCGGTGGGGAAACCGGCCCAGTATAGGGTTGATTCGACCCAACTCATCTCTAAACAATCATTTCGGGTCAAACCCAGTTCGGGAAAGTTTACGTTCATCAATTGTATAAGTCTGTCAGTTTGTCCTAGAAAATGGCCGATGAATGAAACCCTAATGGTTTTGTTGCTGCCACCATTGTTAATAGGCTCAGGCTGAAGTCTCACAAAGAGATCTTTAGGCAGTTTCGGTGCAACTTGTTGCCAACGATAAGCTAGGTCGGTTGCGCCTTGGTTCAAAATCCTTTGGACGGTGAAAACAGTAACCTTAGGTGGGACACGAACCAGCTTCACCCTCCATGAAAGGATGATCCCAAAGCTGGTTGTTCCACCACCTCTTATTGCCCAAAACACTTCTTCTCCCATTGATTTCCGGTTAAGGATTCTACCATTGGCGTCGATCAGCTGCGCGTCAACGACGTTATCGATGGAGAGCCCGTACTTTCTCATAAGAAATCCATAGCCACCTCCACTGAAGTGTCCACCAATGCCGAGAGTGGTGCAAACACCAGATGGGAATCCATGGACATTGCTTTTCTCAGCTATTCTATAATAAAGTTCACCCGTCGTGGCCCCGGCCTGAACCCACGCTGTCTCGGTTTTCATATTGATATCGATGGACTTAAGGTTGAACATATCCAGAATCACAAATGGGACGTCGGAGGTGTACGAAAGTCCCTCGTAATCATGGCCGCCACTTCGGATCCTTACTTGCAACCCATGGCGCTTGGCACAAATCACGGTGGCTTGAGCGTGGGATGGATGCAGGGCAGTTATAATGGCCACTGGTCTCGAAGTTGCCGACGATAAGATTCGAAGGTTATTCGCACGTAACTGGTAAATAGATTGGAAAGAGGAGTTGGTGGGAGTTAATATGGCATCGGCAATTGGAAAGGAACGGTGAGAATGTGTAGGAAGACATTGGAGAAAATTATTGACTTGGTCGGTAGATGTCACCGATGAAATAAAAAACAAAACGAAGATCGAAAAGATGGCAAGGTTAGAGATTAAAGCTTTCATTTTTTCTGAATGATTTTAGATGGTATTGGTGCATTGTTTGTATGGTTCAATGGTGTATATATAGGGACGGAGGAGAAGAGGCGGCTGGCGGCATTTTAATCAACTTCATTCATTTCTATCTCCCAGTATGAAAACGTTAGAAAACACGTCTCTAAGACTATTCAAATAATTCATTGTTAATATTATTTTAAATTAAATTAAATATAACCAATTCAATCAATAATTATTATTTACAACGTTCACAATATTATAAATATATATATAAATTTATAACTTATAATTTAATGAATGTTTAGAGTTTAGAGTTTAAGATTACTGTTAATTAATCAGATTATATGTTAATTTTTCATTTACGTTAATATAAGATTTTGAACAACTTTAGAATCAATTATTTCAACGTATTAATAATAAGTTACTATTAGCATACGTGTGTCGGTTTCTCCAACATTAACTTAAGAATTTTAAGACATGTAGATTTGCATGTTACGTTAATAATATGTAGAAAAGATTTTTTTTTAATTATTTCTTTAAAGTAATCCTAATAATAGCATTTTAATGGTTTCTTTTAAAAAAAATCTAATAATATTTCGGCTGCTTTCGTTGAATAATATATGGTCAAATAAAATCAAAAATTTCAATTTTCAAAAGACAAAATGTTCAAATCAAACCTTCCAAGTTGGCAAGTTGAAAACAAACGTATAAATAAATGATTTTGAGTTACATTTTCGCCATACTCACATAACAACTTTTTTTACAAAAACGAAAATGGGTTTGGGTTTAGTTAAAATCTAATTTTTGCTCTACAATAATTAAGACAAATATAATACTAAGAGCGTAAATTATTGATTTAATATCTCGTCTAATCTTGTACTTTTATTTTGATCACCTAACTATTTTTCTAAAAGTCATATGTGATTTTATGTTTTATTTCTATTTTAATACCCCTCCCTTGAGTTTGATTGTTTACTTAATAGGATGGTAATGTGGCATGGTATAATTGTAATTTTCATCCATAAAGCTTACACATTCTATTAGATTAGTCCTAATTCAAAATAATTTAATAAATCCTCCATATTTAAAAACTATGATTAAATTATTTTCAAACTTAAAGACTAAATTAAAAAATATTAAAGATTTATTAAATAATTTTAGATTAAGACCATTTTGATAAAATTTGTAAGTTTTAAAGACTGAAACTTTTATCATATCATATCACATCTTAATTTTTGTTTAGTCAATCAGCAAACTTGACGAAGAGATACGAAAATAAAAATAAAATATAACATAACATAAATATAATTGGCTTAAATGTACCCCTTAAAATATATCATTTGTACCGAGTTTTCTTTTGAAGTATTTTTGAGACTTTTTATCTCTTAAAGTTTAAATCGTTACTCATTTGCTCATAATTGTTAACTCTATTAAAAAAACCAAAGATAAATTACATATTTAGTCAATCAACTATTCCTACAGTTCCGTTTTGATCACCCAACTATTTTTCTTTTTAAAATCACCACTAAAACAATAAACCCGCCACTATGCAGTTATTTCTTCAACAGCTCCTCTATCCAGATCGCCACCTTTTTTAGCCATCACTATGCAGCGATTAACGTTAACCTCCATTCGTTCAAGTGCAACATAAATACATAATAATCTTTCGTCCCTTGGTTCGCAAAAACAACCTTATCCAGCACCGTTTCCGAGGGAGAAAATGCAAGGTGGGGTTGTATCAAGCTGGAAGATGCATCATATTTAGTAATACTCATTTCCTTTAAAAGTAAGTTAAAGATGGTGTCGTTAATTACGATTGAAACGGAAGCATGGAGAGGGTAAGACAAAGATAATCCCGGACTCGGATGATCAATCGGCACCATGGTAAAAACAAAACTGAACATCAAAAGGTATGGCTTTACATTATCATGTAAAAGTGCTTGTTGCTCTTTACCATGTAAAAGTTTCCTTTGTTAAGCGGACAAGAGAATAGTTGTAGTGAACCAATGCGTGAAATCTGCAGCATTCATGGCAGGACTCCGCTCATCCTTTCTGCTTCTGGTTTATAATGGAATCCAGAATATATAGCTGCAAACGAATATTGTCCTCAAACTAGAGGCATCATCAAGCAGAAGTTGGTTCATTTGTCATTATTATTATTTTTTTACCTTCCTAACTTTTGCTTGGATGTGATTGTTAGTTTTGGTGCTGGAAGTGCTATGTATTGATTTTGAGTAATATTATATATAAAGATATTCATTATAACGATATAAACTAATAGCTCTTTTATTATGATTTTGTAGCATGAAACCTTCATTGATTTTGCCTTCATCACATGCATGAATGGTGTGGAGTTCCTTGCCTTAATCATAGAAGTTGTTCAGAAATTCATCTATTAGATGAGGACGAAACCGGTGAAGAAGACAATACAATAATGATTTAGAAAAAAAAAACTAAGTTTAGTGACTATTTTGAAAAAAACAAATTAGTTGGGAGACCAAAATGAAATTGTATGAATAGTTGAGTGACTAAATATATAATCCATCATTGAGTTCTTTAACGGAATTAACTATTCGAGACAAACGAGGTAACAATTCAAAATTCAGAAAGCAAAATGTTCTAAAAAATACTTTGAGGGATAACTCGATATAAATAACATATTTTAGAGGGGAAACGGTGCATTTAAATTAATATAATTTTAAAAAATAATTGATGACTGAAATAGAAATACAGAGATATATATTTGAATATAGTTTTCTATAATAGTTATTATATTATTTAATTGACAATGATATTTATGGCATTTAGTAAGTTTTAAAACTTTTATAAGATGCCAGCCGAATGAAAAGTTGAAATTTGAAGTTACAGATAAGGATAGAATGTTGCATGAAAGTCATAGGTACGTAAACATGATGTGGATTGGCGTAATATTAATTTCATAATAGGTCTTAACTGTAATTTAAGCCCCTCTTTTTTTTTTTTTTGAAAGATGGTACTTTGTATTACGAAACGTTTACAAAGTAAACCATCTCAAAGACCTCATTAAAAACCCCTAATCTAAATGGGAAAAAGAGTGTGTCTTGAGGTGGTAGAGATGTTAAGAAACAATACCACAAAGCTGAACTACACACAAATTCAAACCCAGCCTTACTACAAATCCCAAACCCCTTCCAAGACATTCAACACAAACAAACTACAAAAAAGAAATTAGAACTAAAACGAGATCGAACACCTACTTCATATCCAAAGAAACGAGCCAACACCTCAAACACAACATCACCCGCAACCCGAGCGTGAACAAAAAGAAGCCCCGAGACATGGAGAACCGGCACTTACTGAGATCTAACTACCAACAAACTCGTCCAAGAACCGAAACAAACACCAGATAGCAAAGACAGTACGAGCCTACCCATTTACCCAAAAATAATATAAATATCCACCAAAAATAATATAAACAATTTAAGCCCCTCTTAAATACTTCTACTTTAATTTGGTCCTTCTACTTTTTCTAACTGTGGACCTAGGTCCAAATTGATAATGTGAAATATTTTTAAAACAACTTTAAATATTTGGATGATATGTAAAAATTAAAGTTTACTCAATTAACGATATTATTTTGAGATGATTGTTTAGACCTTAAAATAATGTTGTTTTGTATGTGACCCGACCCAAAATCAAGAGATCCGCACAGTTCTGTCCTGATACAAATCTTCACAAACCTTACGGTTCTCAATCTTTCATACAACCATTTCTCCGAGGCTAAGATATCGGACTCTTTGTTCTTGAAACGGTATGATTCTTCGTGTTTTTTCGAGTCCAGGATTATCCCAAATCATCGTAGGTATAAGATAAAGGCTGTGATGTTTCTGCTTGTGGTGGCTGTGTTTTCATGGGGGGTTGGGGGGGAAGTGAGGGTTTTGTTGTGTAAAGGGATCTTATGGTATGGCACAATAAGTGAGTTGAAATCTACTGGGATAGCAACAATTCAAGGGAAAAGTGCCACAGAAAGTATGCTGAGGAATATAACGTATTGGTTCAGTTGAACCACCACAACTTGGTGTTGAAGTCGGAATATGAGGGCCCTTGTCACTGAATGGATCAGCCAACAAGTGAACGTCGACTTGTGACTGTCGGAAACATAGATTCAAAGTGTTATCTTCAAGGCCAATGGCCTGAGATTGGTTGTGATGTAAAAACAAGCAGCGTTTTCCTCCATGAAAATGGTGAGCCTACTCAAATATATTGGCAATATATATAGGTCCATAACAAAAGAAAACTCTCCTACTTGTTCATGTATCACATCTATCCAACACTTAATTTAAGATGATTTTCATCCATTTCTCTTGTCAAGGATTTCTCCATTCAAAGCATATAAGAAAAATGTGTCAAGCTGAGAACACTATTTGAGCCAAACTAATACTTTCTCCATCAGACAATACAGTGATACGCGCTACTCGAAAACTAAGCACTTACAAGAACACAGCAAGTTCGAAACAACAAATCATTTAATGATGGCGGGTCTGTTGGCCTGCATCTTAGATCGGGTCTTATGAACTTTCTTTGGTGCTTCAGTTGTTAAAGCATACATCTTCACAGCAAACAATTCCTCAGGCAATCCTTTCTGGTCCTGTTTTCAAGAATAATAAACTAAACATAAATAATAACAGGTTAAATTATGGTACCAGAGCAAAGGAATTGCATTCAAGGTGATCAGAAAGATCGGCTTTTGAAACTACATCCTGGTGAAGTCTACTAAGCCTCATAAAGCAACAACTGCTGATTTTAGAGGAAATGTATTATTCTGTTTAAAAAAAGCATTATAATTTATCAACTCTTATTAATGCCTGATGTGCAAAAGAAGGAACCTTCATTTTATAGAGGTGCAATCCACTTTGACGGAATAGGTCCTTGAAGTATAAATCAGATCTTGTGATGCTTCGGTCTTCTTTATCCAAAACAAATCCTGCAAATGATTAATAATAGCTCAGTGAAGCTCATTTTGCCACTGGAAGAATTCCAGAACTGTTTAAAGACCAGTCAA